TCTCTTTTTTGAGACAAATTTATTAGAGTATTTTCTTTAAAACTTCTAAAAGCTATCGTCTTTTGTTTTAGAGTTATAAATAGAAATTTAAAATTTCGAGTTTTGGCTACCTGTTTTTTTGTAATATTAGCTGTGCTTCAGTTAAAAAGATAAATTCTTCCTCTTTTCAAATATACATCATATGTAGGGTCACATTCGATATACATTTAATTACGAAAACAATCTTTTGGTAGTTTACCCCTTGCATTTTTTATATTGGTTGCATCTGTTATCTATGTGATAGTGATCTCCTGATCATTTTAATAATTCACTTTTCCCTACTCGTCATTCGGACATAAAAGAAGCTTAAATTAGCAGTGTTAAAATTTTATGACAACAAAGAGCATTGCTGGTACGATAGCAGCCCTCATCTTATCGTCGACGTTAGATCTCAAGGATGGTTTTATTTCTGGATAACTATTGAAATTTATCTCTGGTACCACATCAAAATTGTTATTGCTTTGAGTGATTTTGATATTATGAGGATGTGCACCATCTTACTGAAAGAACTTGCTATTTGCTTCGTTTAAAAAGTTATAATACCGTTGGCCATTAAATGCTCTTGATATAGGTGATAAGTTAGAACACTATTGCCTACTACAGTAAACCCCAAACACTAAAATCAGACCCTCCTTGAGATCTATAACGTCGACGATACGATGAGGGTTGCTATTGCACCAGTAGTACTCGTTGCCACAAAATTTCGGCACTGCTTCTTCTTCTTTTTTATATCGGGGTAGTATGACAAGGTAAGATGAACTGTCGAAATAAAACTTAGTTTCGAGTTTATTTATTAACAATTGTTTTTTAAATCTGTAAAAATATTTTTTTTTCTAAATTTAAGCCCATAAGACAAAAATCGTTTACGATAGCTTTTAGATAAAGGCATACATACAATGTCAACCAATTTTTTCTTTATCGGGAGAGTATTATGACAGAGGAAAGGTAATGGTGGTAACAATGTTTTTAATTACAAGCGACTGATCTTGATCAATTTTTTTTTTATATATTATATGGTTATATATATCTTTGATGTATATGATATCTTGGATGACAATGTAGTGTAATGTAGCACTACTTATCATGAGAAATAACCAATTCCTTCATGGATTTTCAACGCATTGAATTATAACTAAGTACGTGCTTTTAGCAATTGATGCTTACTTTTTAATAAACAAGGAACAAAAAAGTTTTGATGCTATTTTGTTATATGAGGCTTCAATCTCGAGTTATTTATAGAATTATGTCGAAAAAAAGGCATTTTTCGGTAATTGCAGTTATTGATCTTTCACACAAATTTTAACCAAAAGAATCACTACGAACACCCAATTGTTGTTTAGAATATTGTTCCGGATCACATGCTACCAAACATGTAATTATACATACCATAATTAAAAGGATTTGACCTTCCATCAACTGCGTCGCCATGCACATATCTTCATACGTGGAGTAATTTCGAATAGCTGTGCTGAAGCTGTAGAAAACCTTAATTGGTCCTACAACGGCCTGAGGTAGAGGGGTTGTAGTCGGTAGGTCCGAGAACACCTTCCTTGGGAATCCGACACTATCCAATCATAGGGACGGCAAAAACCGACTGCGCTATGGGTAGATCATGGCAGCCGCCGCATATAGCATGCTTTGAATACGTAATTGAAGATAGTGCAGGAAAACTCGCAATACAAATAACTTTTGACAATAAGGAAAAAAGTTCACATGATCCTCGATGTTCTCTAGATACTTCCTGGCCTTTTCCTTATGTTTCCCTGTTGTTTTAGGGAATATCGTATGCATAGAAAAGAGATGTCAGGTCGGAATTGCAGCGGACACTAATAAAGGAAAAAAAATAACATTACACCAATTTATGTGTAACAGAAAGGGATACAGATAAACAGAATTTGAGCATGTTGATAGCATTGGACTTTAAAGAAAGCTCAACTCAGGAATTTAGGAAAGAAGACACTTGTTTAAAGATATAATTCAACCAGACAGTTATAAAGCCGATTCTATTATTTGATTATCTCTTTTCACTCTATCTTTACTACTCATGAAACATTTCCTAATTCAACAAGGACATGTTCAAAACGCAACATTCCCAAGTGGAAACAAAAAAGAAGATACGTTCATTTTCACAGATAATTTATGAACTTTGTCAATTTTAATCGTCCTAACTATATCAATTTCTGGCACACCACGAATAGGACTTGAAGGACGGACAGCGTTGCTTTAAACCTTCGAGTACGGAACACTGAAACCTAGTGATAAGGAGAACCAAAGTCGGTCTTACAAACCTGATTTTGGCGTTGTGCATGCACTAACAACGTCAATACTACGAGCGTAATGTCATTCCCAATACCATGATCGTTGTGGTCTTGATCATACATTTGCTCATAACTAATAGTTATTGTGACTCAATTATTGACCAGAAAAAAGTTGTAATTGTTTCCTATTTTTTTTGTAGCAAATATCAAAACAAATACAACTATTAAAGAACAAAAACGTTGATTAAAAAATTTTTTTGTTTTAATTCCTACTACTTTTGTCACACCTGCTGCTAAAATGCAAAACAAAAAAACAAAGTAAAAATATAAAAACGTCAGATTGAATGAAATAGGAGCTACTCTAATATTTATACTAATGACAAATGCTACTGCACACCAACATAATACCCAGCTAGGCAAAACGAACACCATTGGAATCAGGGCAGTATGACACACATTAATGAACACATTTTTAATTGTTTAGCAATTGGCTATTTTGGACATTCCCTTTGGTGGTTCTTTTAGATACATTTTAATTTCAAATACATCTAACTACCTAATAGTTAATACAGTCAAAACCGTTTACTACGACATCGTTTAGAACAACATACCGGTTATATTGACCAAAATTATAGGTCTCGACTGAATTATGTTAAACCGTCTTATAATAAACATTGGTTTTTACGACATTGCTTATTACGACATATCTTTTTAAGCGTCTACATTTAACTGAAATTTTCGGAGAATTATATCTGTTAGAACGACCAACTGTATTGTAAACATTTGAATAGGTAACAGTATCCACATCTGGTACAGTAAATGACCATTAAGATCGCAAAAGTAAACAAAAACGTGTTGAGTTTAGGGTCTATTGTAATTCTCAGAATATCTGCTACTGAAGCTAAGGAATTTATTGATGCAGATAACTCTATTGCAATTTGTGCACCAGCTACGGAAGATGATATTGTACAAGAAGTTC